GTTGTTGTTGTTGTTGTTGTTGTTGTTGTTATTCCCCAGACTGTTTCTACTCAGAGGTCTCCCAAAGCCGTTTATTTTTTTTTCTCCCAAATTCTCAATATCCCTTTTAAAAAAACTTCCCTAGTTTGCATACTTATTAATCCAAAATAACATATATCCTAAAATTTATTTAGTTAGCGTATGTATGTATGTATGTATGTATGTATGTATGTATGTATGTATGTATGTATGTATATATATATATATATATAAAATGGGGCAGTTCCATTATTATTTTGAATGTCATATATGCTAATAAAACCAGTTTTGCAATGTAATGAATTTTGTACAACTTATTGTGATTCATGAAACAGACTAATTTGATTAAAATTAAAGAAAATCAAACACAAAAACTCCATGCATAAAAAAGCTAGTATAGTAAGGAATAGCCCGAATTACACTCCTGCCATCAATGTGTTACTTTGAAGAAAGGGTGTTACTTCAAATATAAGTAAAACTGGTACAATCTTTTTTATGTTATTATGATATGCTATCAGCAAGCCAAAAGTAAAAGAGTCTGATGCAAACATGAATCCAGGTAATATCACCACTCTATATAAACAATATATAAAAACAGCTTCTTTTGTTTCTGAATTCAAACAAGCATCTATCCTAGTTACAGAAAAAAATTGCTCTACATTATCAGTTGAATAGATTATTAAAGATGACATCTCAAGTTGAACTCGACATCTAAAGACTTCAGGTCTTTATCTATAGTTTCTTTGGTAATAGTAAGGAAGTGATTTGTCATTGTTTTCTGAATTGAGTCCTTTCTGAATTCCCAGGTATTTGGGGGTTAGTTTTATTCAAACACTAACAGTGTCTCATCATGTTTAGGTTTTTTTTTCTGAGGTCAGGCAATACAGAGCAAGAATGGTATATCCTTCAATTTCATTTATTGAATAAGTCTACAATTTATTCTAAAGTGTATATGAGAAGAAGACCAGAAATGATTCAACAATTTGTCCAATCCTTACTTCATAAAATGCAACAAGAAGGGGGAAAAACTATTAGCAATTTATGTAGAACAAAGGTGAGGAAAACAACCGATGCTGTTTTATTATCTGTGAAAATTAATTAATTAATCTCCCACCAACAATGGCAAATAAGACATTTCTGGCAAATGTCAGAATGCCAAAGCCTTTCTAAAAAACTCTGCACTTCCAAAAGACTGTCTAATCAAAGTATAGTCTCACTTCTTCAGACAATTCAGTAGCTGTAGGTTCCTCCTACTCTTGGGAGAGACCTAACAAAGAACTAATTATATAAAGATTACATAAGGTGACACACCTACCTGACCCAGATATGCTCACAGAGCAATTCTTTTCAAGTATGTCCAGAATGATAATTGAGCCAAAGGAAATCTTCAGTATAGTGCTTCTCTCTATACGAAATACTGCAGCATTATCAATAATTT